GGTCTCAAATTCCATCCATTTTCCTACAATTGATTCCATTCTTCTTTATGGTTGAATATACACATATATTTACTTTATTTATGCGTATGTTCATAGGCATCTCGGCTGCTTCCAGAGCTTAGCTCTTGTTAATTATACTACTATAAACATAGGTATGCATGTATCATTGTAGTATGATGTTTTTAATTCTTTTGGGAATATAACCATGAGAGGTACAGCTAAATCAAATGGAATTTCAGTTTAGTTTTTTGAGAAAATTCCATATCTATTTCCATAGTGATTGTAATTCCTTACATTAGCACTAACAATGTAGGATGTTTTTTTTTCCCCCATATCATTACCTGCATTCATCATTTTTTGTGTCTTTTTACTATAGCCATTCTGACTGGAGTAAGATGGACTAAAGCTGTTTTGTTTTGATTTGCATTTTTCTAATGGCTAAAGATGCGGAACGTTTTTTCAAATATTTAGTGGCCATTTACACTTGCTTGCTTTTTCTTCTGAGAATAGTCTTCAGTTCATCTGCCCACTTTTTAACTGAGCCGTATGCTTTTGGGAGGGTTAATTTTTATGAGTTATCTATACATTATAACTATTAGTCCTTTATCAGAAGAGTAACTAGCAAAAATTTTCTTCTATTATGTAGGTGGTCCTTTTACTCTTCTGACCTTTTCCTTGGTTGTACAGATGCTTTTTTAATCTGATATGATCCCATTTGTTGCTTTCCTATGCTACTGGAGCTCTATTCAGGAAATTTTTGCATATGTCTATGGCTTCAATTGTTTTCCTTTGTCATCTTCCAATAGTTTCAAAGTTTCTGTTTTTAGGGGCTGGGGATTTAGCTCAGCGGCAAAAAGCGCCTGCCCTGCAAGCGCAAGGTCGTGAGTTCGGTTCCCGGTACCGGAGAAAAACCAAAAAAAAAAAAAAAAAAAAAACAAAGTTTCTGTTTTTAACACTTAGACCTTTAATCAGTTTTGACCTGCTTTTGGTACAGGGTGAGTGACATGGGTCTAGCTTCAGTCTACAAGTGGGCACCTGCTTTTCTCTGTAACATTTGTCTTTTTTCCAATGCACACTTTTGACTCCTTTGTAAAAAAAAAAAAAAAATCACAGATGACTGTAGGAGCACAGAGATCAGTATCTTCCGCTCTGTGCCACTGTTTTAAATTTCTGTTTTTGAGCCAGTACTACAATGTTTTTTATACTACAGCTTTGTAGTATAACTTAAAATGCAGTATTATTGTACCTCCAGCTTTGCTCTTTTTTCTCACGATTGCTGTGTCTATTGTGGGTCTTTTCGGATTCCATAGGAATCTTAGGATTGTTTTTTCTAGTTCTATGAAGAATATTATTGGTATTTTAATAAGGATTGCATTAAATCTATGAAGCATAGTTAGTAATATGGCCATTTTAATACTGTTCATTCTTCCAATCAAAGAACAAGAAATGTCTTTCCATTTTTCTAATGCCCTCTTCAGTTTCTTCCTTTAGAGTTCTGTAGTTTTCATTAGAAGTTTTTAACCTCCTTGGTTAGGTTGATTCCTAGGTATTTAATGTTTTTAAACTACTATGAATAGAAGTGTTTTCTTGATTTCTTATGGGTAGGTTCACTATTAATGTACAGGAACACTACTGATTTTTGTGTGTTAATTCTGTATCCTGTGCAAGATAATTCTCATGAACAGGCAGAATGACAAAATGCTACCCTAAATAAACACTTTCAACTTAACTTCAATTTCTGGCAAATTTCAAAATCTGATTCAGCAAGAGCTGGAAGTCTGGGATTTCTGTATTCCTAACAAGCTTCAAGGTGCTCCACTTTGAGTACTATAGGCAAGACTGGTAACAATGCTAACATCTCTGTATATTAACTGAGACTGCTTGCACTATTCCACCCTCCTCAATGCCATACCGCATCTTACAGATTCTAAAATAACCTGCCCAACATCCCACAGCCAGTGAACAGCACAGAAAAGATTAATCAAGACTTCTAACTCCAAACTCATGCTTCCAGAGCACTACACACAATGCTAATGACACATGTCACATGTTTCTCATGGAACAAAATTTTTAGGAAGAAAATACTAAATTTGAATCCTGAAAGCATTTCCTAAATGTTACCTCTCTTTACAGGTGAACAGCGGAAGAAAAACACTTCATGTCTTTGCATCTTCTGGGATATTAAAGTATAAAAGAAAAAAGGAGTTGAGGATCTGCTACCCCAAATATGCTGCCTTCACCTTCAGATTACTTTGAGTCAAAAGGACCTCAGAAACAGAGGATGAAGGCTTCTGATCTCTTTTCTCCCTAAAAACAGATGTGCTCTCTATTCTAAAAACACCCTAATCGCCAATGAAAATAGACACTGCAATGGTCTATATACAAACTAACTTATCAAAATAACCCTTCTTCTACTAATTTTTTCCAGTGCATCTTTTAGTCACTTCCCCACTTCTACCTCAAACCTTTGACTTGATATTTATTCACAAAGTTATAATTTGTCTAAAAGTATGTAAGTCCTCTGCTCTAGTCACTTCTTCAGGTCATTTTTATGTGAGGACTCCAGTGTATATGTAAAATTCTAATAAAAATGTATATGCTTTTGTCCTATTGTTGGTATAATTCTTAGGCCCAGCAAGGGACCCTAAGAGGGAAAAGGATAAATTTTTCCTCCCCTATATGACAAAAAAATGGTCCACTTACAAGCAGAGGTACAGGACTAGTAAGAAAAATACTATGCTTTATTAGATTTTCTCACAGAGGACTGAATATAGAAACATAATTGAAGGGACAATTAAAAGATTAGTTAAGCTGGGTGTGAAGGTGCACCCCTGTAAACTCAGCACTGTCTAGATGGGGAAAAAAAAGTATCTAGTCCAGTCTCTTACCTACAACAATACCCTCAAAATGATGCAAAATGATTATTCTAATAAATAACTGCTTTACTTTTTGAAGTAGCTGCTAATCACCTCTAATGATTAGAAAGTTCTTCCTTTTTACTAGCCAAAATTTATCTCTCTATAATTTCAGGCCATCTGGCTTAACCCAGAAAGCTTCTGAATAACAATAAGGGGGTGACACTGTCTTCACTGGTCTAAATCCACATCTGTGAGGAAACAACTAGTCAGAAAAATAGCCTTTGTATAATGAAATATACACTTGATGAAATTCTGCATGAAGAATGTCAGGAAGGACACAAGCCCCTTGCTCTGTTCATGTATTAATTATCTACCCACTGCCTGAACTGCTGTTTACAACACCTTACATATAATAGACTATCATCATTTACCATCATCATTTTCTTTCTGCATACAAGAAAATGTAACAGATCAGTACAGGATAGTTAATAGAGATGGGAGGTAAACTGTAGGCTTCTGACACCTAAGTATTATAAGGAAGTATTATAAGGAAGCAATCTAACGCAATTATTCAAAGCTCAAGCTTATTATTCAGAAACACCTGAAGAGTTTGAATCTCAGCTCTACCATTTACTACCTCATCTTTTACTTGAAGTGCTTAAATGTTTTTGTTAGTATAAAATACCTCAATGAAAAAGAACTGCTTATTATTTCATTATTAACCACAATGGTTCTCAACACAGTATCAAAATTACCTATGATTTTGAAGATTTCCCAAATGACTTATTAGATGTCTCAAATTTTAGTAATCCCTTACTAGATTTCCCAAATTCTAGTAATTCATTACTAGAAATAAGGAATACAAACAGAGTAGGAGTAGGAAACACTAACCCTGCAATTTTATAAAAAATAATATGAATTTCTGGGTATGTAAAGTAATACCAGGAACACACATAAAATTCTGGACAAAACATAAAAGTATTTGTGTTGGGTATATTTTAATTCATTTATATTAACAGAAATATACTAGTGACAGAGTGGGTTAGGGTGGATAGTGATTTTTATAACTGTTAGCTGTCTCTTTTGCTATCTTTTTCCTTTCTTCGGGGGAGGGACTAGGGATTGATCCTGGGGTGCTCTTCCAGGCAGCTACATCCCCATCTGTTTTTTATTTTTGGATAGGGTCTCACTAAGTTGCAAAGACTGACTCTGAATTCACAATCCTCCCATGTCACCCTCCCAAGGAGGTGTGATTACAGGCCTACACTACCACGTGGGCTTGGCTTATGCCAGCTTACTCTTTTTATGCATGTGGCAATTCTGTGTGTTTATGGCACAGTAACAGGGTGACATATAACTTACACAAAATAGGATGTGTATGGAGGAAAAAAGTCATTTTTAATAACTAAACTGAACAATAAGCATAAACTTTAAACTGTCGCACAAACCTGAAGTCATTCTACCCATGACATAAATACGTAATTATTTTCTATCCTAGTTTAATGAGTGTAAAATTAAACTAGAAATCAGGTAAACTAATTCAATTTCTAAACATTGTACTCAAGAGTCATTTAAAAAAATCTACATCTCTTCATTTCAGTTCTTCAATCCAAATTTTCCATCATTTAGGCTACCTTAATTATAGGTAATATTTTATATGGCATAGAGAATAATCAGGAGGAGGCCCTAGAACATTTGGAAGTTTATATTTAAGTCTAAGGTACTGAACAGTGTTAACAAGAAAGAGCAAAGTTGGCATCTGGCTACTTATCAAAAAAAAAAAAAAAAAAAAAAAAAAAAAACCACCTGTGCACATTCAAAACAAACATTCCTAATTTATCACGATACTCTTCTCTGATAAATGTTAGAATTGCAAACACATCTCAGATATAAAACTCAAGAAGAAAGAATACACAACCTAAAAATATACATCTACAAATTTAACACCAAAGTTTGTAAAAGAAACCTGGCAAGAAGGAAAAAAGGAGTTCAATACTGAAGTCCACTCTATTTATTTACAAATGTACACATATAAAAAATTTACCTATGGCTTTGTATTTGAAAATACAACGTAAAACTTCAATGTCAGACATAAAAAACCCAATGGCCAATAACAAAACTGAAAAATGAAATCATACTCACTTGCTTTCTTCATCTAAAAGATGGAGTAGTCCTGTTGGTTTTTTGCTAATAAGATTTATGCAACAGGTATTATCAATATAATCTATGTTGTGCCAGCTGATTCCTTCAGTTCTATATTCTTCCTAGAAAAACCAAATAAAAAAATAACAATTTATTCATCTTGCAGAAAATAACAAGGACTGAAAAGTTTTTATCAGACTTAAAAGAATAGCCTAAGCTTTTGTTCCCTCAACCCTCACTTCACATAATGGAAGGATGCAAACTTTCAGTTGTATAAATTTTGATACAATGTGTATCACTTTCCTTTAAAAAGTACATGTACCATATTTTTTGGTCAGAATCCTATTTCTGAGGCCACTAGAATCAAACTTTAGACCTGGGTTTTAGTCATATAGTATCTGATGACTCCATTAAGGAAAATACATGTGGGGAAAATAGTTTCTCCCACATAACTCTAAAACATCAAAGAGGACTGTATTTGTTGAATCCTCAACAATAAACTTAATGAAATAGAATTTTGGGAGAGACAGGAAACTATCACCTTCAGTAATGAAAGATATAAATCATGCAATTCATAAACATTTTACTTTAGCAAAATAAAATTATTAATACATTTTTTGAGATTTTTGTTGTTTGTGTCAATGAAAAAGTGTCAATTTCCAAAATTAAAAAAGTCAAAAGTCAGGTCTTAAAGACCTATTTAATTTACTCTTACAAAACACTCAGTTTTTCTTATTCTTTCTCTGTGCTGGGAAATACTCTTATTCATCCCTGTGATGTTTTCACTTTAAAACTAGTTACTCTAATTAGAAAAGATAAATAATTTTTCTTAACAATTTCAGTAATAAATTGTTACATAAAGGCCACCACCAAATCAAAGTAAGAAAGCCTGCCTCAACAGTTTTTCTGTTTTGTAGTACGGGTAATAAACATACTAGGTAGCGAAAGCATCAGGATTTTCCCAGGAATCATCCAGAATCTTGTGCCCAATGTTAGCTTCTAATGTATTTGGTAAAATTCATCTGTTTATAAATATTATCTAAATAAAACCACTCAGTACATGTTCCTTTTGTCTGACTTTTTGACTAAATTTAGGTTTCAGAGACACATTCATTTCATTTGGAAGCATCTGATTTTAGTCACCATAGAGCAGATGTTATAAAGCAACACAATCACTCATTTATCTGATCTACACATAACTGTGTGTTCCTCAATATAATAGAAGAGTTGAGACAATTCAGCACAAAAAAAATCTACCATTCTACTGAAATGATTAAGAGTTCTTCTCTTCCTTGTTTTATTAACATGTCAATGAAACTAGTTCATGTTTGCATGTAAAACTAAAGTGGAAAAAAATCCACTTAGTTCTGGTGTTTTACCCTTTTTGTATCTTGCTTGGATTTTGTTTGCTAACATTTGTTCAAAAGTTTTTATCTATGTTTATGAGTAAACTGCACCTAGAATTTCTACTTCTAATAATATTCTTGACAGATCTGGGTATCAATGCTACATTGGCCCCCTGACATATATTATGTTATGACATTATATTATTCTGTGCCACCTACTTTGAATTTTATGGCTCATTTTTTTCTTGCCTAAATAATATGCTTGTTTTAAAGAAAATATCCCACTGTGCTCTAGCTTCTGGCTGTTTTCAGTGAAAAGTTAACTGCCATATATTATGAATTGTCTCCTTTTTTCCCATCCCATGTTAAGGGTTTGTGTCAGACACAGTAGCTTGTCTTTCAATGTTGGCAGAATTTAGCAGTGAAGCCATCTTGGCTTACCATGTTGGACAGAAAGATTTCTAATTATATATTCAACTCCCTTAGAAGCTATAGCATCAGATTTTCTATTTATTCTGTGCCAGTTTTGAAAATTTCTTTTTTTCCTACACTTGATAACCCTGCTTGCTACATAAAGGTGTTTAGTGTATCCTATTACATTTTCAGTATGTGTAAGATCCACAATGATGTCCTCTTTGCCACTGAGATTCTGGCTATGTATAATCCTGACTCCATGTCTGCCTGTCTGCCTGCCTGTCTCTGTTTCTCTCATAAATTTCATGAAGGATTTTTAATCCTTTGTTTTCATATAGTTTGATCTTCTGCCAAGATTGGGAAGGATCACTGATAATCAAAATTAACGTCTTCTAACAGCTCTAAAATTCTCCTGCATAGCCATATCCCATAGTATATTCATTAAGTCCAAAATATATTCTAATTTATACATCTTCTATGATACTGAGATGTACATTTCTTAACTTCTAATCACACCTGTTATTTTCCAGTTATCTTTTAGTCATTAATTTCTGCCATAATTTCATTATGGTATTCAAATGTGTGTCACTTCAACTCTTGCACATTTGACCTTTGCTTTATGGTCCAACATATTAAATTTTGTAAATGTCCACTTTGATTTAATTTGAAAAAAAAGTATATTCTGTAGCTTTTGGTGAAGTGTTCCATGTATGTCAATTATATACTGCTTTTAAATTGCATTTTATATCCTCTCCGATCAGGTCTCAAGAAGCAAGGCGGCCATGGAAACTGCATTCTACTCTGATGGGCAAGCAGCAACAGATGCTCACAGAAACAAGCAGCCCTTGACTTTAACAAGTGACCCTCCTACCTACTCTCTTAAGAAGCTGGGGCTGTTGCAGGCATCACCGCACCTAGCTCCTTTGGCATTCTTTTTATCCTTTTCCCTCAAATTTTTTTTAAGATTGCTTGGATTATTTTTGCTTTACTTACACTCTTTACTAACCCTTATATTCTTTCACTACTTTGTGGCTAACCTAGAAATAGTAACATATATCCTTAACTTATAAATACCTCATAGCAATAAAATTTCCTGTAACATAACAGCTAATGCAAAGATGTTAGAAAACCTTAAATTCCATTTACTCCTCACCTAGCTTATCTACTATTGTCCTCAAGAATTTTATTTCAATTTAAACACAAAACCCTAAATGCTATTTTTATCTTTGTCTAATTTAATTAATCTATCAATTTAGACCACCTACTTTGAATTTTATGGCTCATTTTTTTCTTGCCTAAACAATATGCTTGTTTTAAAGAAAATATCCCACTGTGCTCTAGCTTCTGGCTGTTTTCAGTGAAAAGTTAACTGCCAGTCTTATTTCATCTTCAGTGATACTGTGTTTTTGGTTTTTTTCTGGGTGTTTTTGAGATTTCTAGATATCTTCATACATGAACTTTTAGGGTATGGGTGTAATATTCGTTCATTATGGTTGGGAAATTTCTTCTGGCCTATCTCCTAATTTACTAATTGTCTCTTAACTGTATCTAATTGTTACAAATCATCTTGTATTATGAATTACCCTGTACTTTTAGTTCTGTATTTTTCTAAATTTGAGGATTTCTTAGGATAGTTTGTAATAAAATCATTATTTTCTTGTTTTGGGGGTTTCTTTGGTGGTGGTACTGGGGATTAAACTCAAAGCCTTCACACTAAGCTACATTCCCAGCCCATTTCTTGAGGTACAATCTCACTAAATTGCTAAATTGTGCAGATTGGGTTGGAACCGAAGATCCTAGCAGAGTGCTAGAATTACAGGCATGCACCACCATGCACAGCTCCAAGCTGCTCTTTCTAAAAAATTTTCTTGTAACACTATTTAGAGTCCATGTTTGCTAATATTACCTGGATCCCCTGTGGTACTACCAATTGTCTCATTTCTCTTCGCTTTTATTCACCTTGGTTTACTTGTTTCTTTCATTACTGATTGATTGCAGTACTGGGGATTACACTAAGAGGCATTCTACCACTGACGTATATCCTCTGTTTTAAATTTTGGAACAGGCTCTCACAATTTGCTTAAGTTGGCCTGGAACTCACTCACAATCTTGTCTCAGCCTTCCAAGTAGCTTGTTTTCCAGGTGTACCACCACACCAGGCTTTTTTGCTTTCTTAATAGAGGTAACTGAAACAGGAAGGTAATTTCTTCCTATAGTGCAGACTGAATCTACTCTTAGCAGGTGCCTGAGAACACTACAACACTATCTGAACTCAATGAGGAACTAGGATCATGTAAACTAGACTTCAATCCTCTTATTCATAGCTCATCTTTTCTCCTAACATGAAACCTTTTGGAGGAATCTCAACCTAAAGTCTAAAGAAGTTACCATAGGGTTCCTCTTTGCTTTTGAATCAGCAAAAAACTCTGCTCAGTTCCTCAGACCTTCAAGCCTGGCTCATAAAGAATCAGCAACCTTCTGTCAGAACAAAGAAACAGCGCACCAAATGCTGGGCTCACCTGCTGAAATTTCCTTTTCATTCATCTAGGCCCTTACTTATTTGAAAGTAATCCACTGCCTTCAAATGCATTTTGTTGGGTGGGGGGAAGTTCCAAGATAAAGTTAGTAAGAATTTTCTAGTTTCACATCATCAAAAGTGGAATGGGCAAAACAAATATTTGATAGGTTGAAAACTCCTCAGAGAAGATGCTTGCACTCTAAATTTTTTATCTTCAATGTTTAACACAATGCCTGGCATTGGATTAATACTCAATTTACTGAAGGATCAAGGGTGTGAAGGCTAATTCTGCACAAGTAAAGGAAAGAAGAGGGCAACGGCCAGGTGTGATGGTGCACACCTATAATCCCAGCACTCAGGAGGCTGAGGCAAGAGTACCACTGTGAGTGTGAGTTGAGCCTGGGTTACATAGTGAATTCAAAACCAGCCTGGACTAGATAGTTGAGACCCAAAAAGTAAACAAAAAAAGAGCCACATTATAAATGCTAACAGAAAAGGAGTTTTCAAATCTCAGCCTGTCTCTTATTCCACATTATCTCTCACACTACCTTGAAATCAGGACTCAGAAACATGCACCCAGACTATTTCAGATTATCTCTTCACCTCCAGTTCATTTCCCTTCACTCCATCTTCTATAGTTCCCATTCATGTCCCCTGCTAAATATACTTCAAGTAACTTCTGCCCCGACAAAATATCTGCATCTTCTCTGCATGATATTTAAGGCCTCAGTATATTATTCCCTTCTCCAAAAATATCTTTTACCTACTGACAATGTAATGAGTTGCAACTCATCATTCAAAATCATACTCCAGAATCATCCCTAGGATCCCATCCACACTTGTAGGTGGCTCTCATTAACTGCATCCCTTGTTTAAGTATTCACTCACCTTATATGTGATTGTAGCACTTACCATCCTGCACAGCTATTATTACGACTCTCTTCTAGCCTATGTGCCTATATTATCCTCTTGGACAAAATTTAGAACTGAACCCTAGTAATAATATTCCAATTTCTTCCTTGAAAATGTCTTCTTTCACAGTTTAACTTGTGACTCCAACAAATAGTCATGAGTACCCATATACCAGATATCAGTGCTACACATACGAACAGGACACTCAGTATTTAAACTGCTCTGAAATAAATAAATAAATAAATAAAATAAACTGCTCTGAACTCCGCATTTACAGCAAATCCAGTTTTAGTGCAAAAACATGGGAAGAAGTGAAAGAGAGAATGAACAATGAGATGGTAACGAAATGTAAGGTCTCTAATCTTTCCACAAATTACATGGAAGGCATAACCACTAGATTCAAAATTATGATATTCAAGGTAGCAAGTAAATGAGCTCACCCAATCTCAAGAGTTTTGAATACATTTTCCATTAACTGTAAGGTTTTATTGGTACAGAGTATGTTTACAGTTAAGGTATTTCTCATGGTTCTTGTACATCTAGACTTCTAGAAAACGTAATAGTAATTTCAGTTTGCAGTAAGAAAACACCTTTTCAAAAGCAATTTAACCAGTCTGTTTAATGATCCACAGAGCAACTGATGCTTTGCTCTAAAAAATACGCAACACAGGGCCGGGGTTGTAGCTCAATGGCACAGCACCTGCTGGCAAGTGCAAGGCCCTGAGTTTGATTCCTGGTACCAAAAAGAAAAACATACAGAACACAGTCAACAAAATGCACTCCCCTGCCCCTCCAACACATAGATTTTTGCAAGAGATAAAAAGATATTTAGCATGGTCCAGTTAAAAGAACACAACACTGAGTCAAGAGATCTAGGTAAGAAACCTCAGCTCCGCTTTTGGTTATAAGCAAAAACAAAAGACCCACAGGGTTAAGATCTGAATACTGGCTTTAGGCATCATCTATAAAATTGGAACAAAAATAGTACCTTCCTGGTAAGTAACATTACATACATTTTAACTAATGCTATCATAAACAATATTATCTTTTAATGGCTCTAGTGTAGCATCTGGCTAAACAGTTACATTTAAAACTAAATATTCATCAAGGTTGCTGGGACTGATACTTCTTATGTAAACTGTTAGCAAGTCATTACAGTCTCTAAGCAAAATAGAGCGTTTAAACCTAAGTCTGAAGGTAACAAGTCTCAATAACAGAGTATGAGGACAGAAAGGAATGCCCCCCACTTCCGTGTTTTATAAATTTAGCCACTGCAGTCTTTCTATCCCATTTCCCTTAAGTTGAATGTGATGAGCCTTGTTGCTCCCTGCGCATCCTTAGAAACAAACAGAAATTCTGGATTATAATCTCAACCTAACCCTAAAAGCCACAATTTTTTTGAATAGGAATGTGCGTGTGCGCGCACATGCGCAACCCTGCTTTACTCTAAAACTTCTCATGAAAACTTAAAAACTCATATTTTATACTAAATCAAATTTGACATTCTCCTGAGAAATCTCTAGTTACATTTTTTGGTCTCTCCACACTGTCTTGTTTCTTTGGCGCTACAATCTGTGTTGATTCAAGATTTTATTAATATGCTTGTTATGGTTTGTGTCTGGATGTCCCCCGCAAAGCCTCATACAGTTGTGGCATGGGCTTCTAGAATTTTTGATTGATCCATAGTCCAAAGGTGGGATTATGAGTGTGAGTGCTACACTCATCCTGGGGCAGATAGCTCGCATACAATATAAAGGAGGGAAAGAGCCTGCTCTCTGCCGCTCCTCCCTTTTGCTGTTGTTGCTTTTGCTATCTTCCACTGCCATGAACTGCTGCCCTCTGCCATGTGCCACCCAGTCTTGGAGCCAGCCAAGTATGGACTGAAACCTCCACAAACTGTGAGCTAAATAAACCTTTCCTTCCTTAATTCTGCGTGTCAGGTGTTTTGTTTCAGCAATGAGCCAAAAATAATCAAGACGATGCTCTTCTATCCTATTCTAGGACTAAAAGACCAAAGCAATGAAACAAGCATATTTAGCATTACACACATGACAAAGCCCATATACCAATTAAAAGTCAACACCCTCCCGCCAAAAAAAACCCAAAACAAACCTATTCATCTTTTGATTCCAAGATGCATTCAAATAAGGATGTACTGTCATAACAAATCTATTTGGTGACTATTAAAGAAAGTTCCTGCATGACATGCTTCCAAAACTCTGCTCTGATTTATCATTTGCTTATAATGCTGTAAGCACCATACTATCTGTATCAAAATACAAGATTTAAAATGCTTATCATGATATGACCCCAAAACTTGTGAAGGGAAAGTGTACACATATTTAGGTACTCACTTGCTCCAACTTAAAGATATGCTGATTAAAGTAGTGCTGTAAACGTTCATTAGCAAAATTAATACAGAACTGTTCAAAGCTATTATTTTCATAATCTTCAAACCCAAAAATATCAAGAACACCAATGGACAAAGTCTGAAAAACAAAAGAAAAGTTTAGTTTAAAAAGGCTCAGATTTATTCAATAATATTCGTAAGTAACAAATGTTCACTTATACAGCACTAAAGAGAGTGTTTCTGGCCAGTGTTCAAACAAAATACAATCAATAACTATTTTGGTTTTACCTTCATTTTACTTTTATTCTAATTATAGAAATATATTCAAGTTTTTAACACATCCAAGTTCTGTATAACATTACAGAAATGTACAAACCACAAAGCTAATGTCCAGTCTATTATCTTCATTTCAGAAATCCGAGAAATCCTTAAACTCAGAAATCCCTAAATTCAAAGAAGAAATGGAAGGGGCTGGGGATTTAGCTCAGCAGCACAGCACCTGCCTGGCAAGCACAAAGTCATGAGTTCGATTCCCAGTACTGGAGAAAAACCAAAAAAAAAAAAAAAAAAAACAAAGATGAAATGGAAACAATGGCTCTGAAAAAATCACAAGGGTATTTAAGTAAAAATTCAGCAAACCTGTTATTCCTGGCTATCCCAAGAAAACCATATAAATTTTCCTATTTTTACTTTTTATCCCCAAAAATGAAATACTGATTGAAGACCTAATTTAACAAGTGTATTTAATCAGCCTCATACAGACTAAGGATCAAACAAGATACATAATACTGTAATTTCTTAAAGTTAAAAGTAAATTCTTCTTTTAAAAAAATACAAGCTTTAAAATGTTGAACAGCTCTAAAATGACTATAAAAAAAAATAGCAATGTTCCTCATTTTCAATGTCTGCCTCCTCAACGTTCAAATCTTTTAGCTGATTGGCAAAATAGACTAGACTAGATAGAGTTTATTTTTCTATTTCTGGATATTTTACTTCTAGAATTTATTTTTGTACATCCATACTATAGATGCTACAGATTAAGCTCTAATACCTGCATATAATTACACTCTTTTCATTGCTCCATCCCATTCTTGAAATATAGTTGGTATAACAATTTTGACAGAATGAAAATAGTTATTCTCCTCTGGTGCTAAGAAATACTAGGCAAACTGACATAATAAATATAATGATACATTTTAAGAGAAGTTTTGAAAGTCTGTACTAACAGTATTTTATTTAATTCTACTAAGTATAGTCCTTTAAAAAGAAAAATAAAACTAACGCTCCTCAAAAATAAGTCAATTTGATAAATTAGGCTACAATTTAAATTAATAGCTGTGGGCTTACTTGAAATATGAGAAATTAATGTTATGAGTAATTTTACATTTAAGACACTAGGATTAAATAATGAAGATGACATTTCTAACCAGTTTGAAAAAGTAGACTGGTCCATAAAGGGTATTGAGAAAATAAAACTGGATTTGAAATGATCAAATATGTACTATATAATCTGGCCATATTAAAAATTAATTCCAACTGGAAAAAAGTCTAAATATAAAAAATTATTCTAAAAGTATAATGCTGAAAATTTTATAATCATAGATGAGAAGAGGCCTTCCTTTATAAGTAAAAAAAAACACATATATAAAACCCAAGACTCTAAAGCAAAGGAGAGAGTTAACTGCACAAAAATTTTGAATATAAGGTCACATAAACACATTCAAGTAACTGAGCCTGGCATGGTGGCACATGCATATAATCCCAGTACTCAAAGAGACTGACACAGGAAGATCAAAGAGTAGAGCCCAACCTGGGTAACTCAGATCTTTAAGGAGAGTCTGTTTCAAAATAAAAAATAAAAAAGGTTGTGATATAACTTAGTGTGAAGGCCCCTGTAGCACAAGGGAGGAAAAAAAGGGTAGCTGCGCAAAAAAATATTTGCAACACATATCAACCTGAGTTTCTACAATGTCTACAATAAATACCTCCTTAAAAAAAAAACAGCACAAAGACGAAATAATACAAAGAAAAGGTAAGAAAAAAACATACAAAGATACTCAACTTTCATCAATATAGCAAGAATGGCACAAAGTGGGATAGTTCTTCCTCATATCATATTAGGAGATGTAAATAATGATAATATCCAAAATGGTAAAAATAGGGAAATGGACACTTTAATGTATTGCTGATAGAAGTATACAGCCTTTTTTAGAAACCATTTTATAACAGTAGCCCCTAAAATTTTTTTTTAATTTTTAAAAATATACAGTATCCTTAAATTTAGAAATTCAGAAATGAAGAACTTAGAGAAAGGTGTTCAAAGATAGTAAAAAAAAAAAAAATTTGTTATAGTAGTGTTCATAATAAAACAAAAAATTTCAACTTAATGGGGGATTAATGGTACATATCATATATTACAAAATTATTAAAAACAGTGAGTATTGGGCATGCAGCTCAGTAGCAGAGAGCTTGCCTAGCATATACAAAGTCCTAAGTTCAATACTGAGTACCAAAAACAAATTTTTTTAAAAAAGATTCAAATATATAATAACACAATATATTTGAAGAGATAATAGATAAAAGTTTGAGCCAATACAGACAGCATGATTGTGTTCATATTTTTAAAAGCAATTGTGAATATACATGCCTTTGGCACGTAGACACAAAAAAAGTTCTAGTAAGACAGAAGAGTTCCTGTGAATAGGATAATAAATACTAGAAGTAAAGGGGATAATATATTCCTCCATATAATAATGTACTTTAAAATTGTATGTATTGGCCAGGCACAGTGGTGCATGCAAATAATCCCAACACTCAGGAGGGTGAGGCAGAAGGATTGCCCTGAGTTCAAGGCCGGCCTGGACTACATTGCAAGACCCTGATTCAACGATTTAATTAATTAATTAATTAATTAAAATATATGTTTTACCCAGTTTTAATAAAACAGTTTTGAGGAAAATATGTCATAATGCAATGTTATCTTTACCTTGGTATTGTGCTCTAAATCTTTACTATTCAAAAGTGCATGGTTAATTCGAAAAACAATCCAGTCAAACAGGGCACTATAGAGAGATTTAGCCATGGAGTTCCTCACTGTCACAGCCTGCAAGACAAGAAAGAGAATGAGTGCAAACGGGAAGTGGTAGTAAATTAAGATACCAAGACACCATATTTGCTCTTATTCAAGAAAGAAAACCTACTATACTGAATAAGAAGCTGATTAAAAAATAGTAATAATAAGCTGATTTTCTCTCAATAGCCTACAACTGAAGTTTTCTATATATATTCTTAATTAAGTCCAACTCAGGGGATATAGGATAAAACTACCATGAAACAAAAACAAAATGTAGGTAACAAAAAGCAAATCATTTTTACTAAAAGTGAGAGTATATATTTCCCATATGAAAGAAGGTATAATGGGAAGTTTACAAACAAATGGCCTTACCAGCTAGTACGGGGAAGAATAGTGTATTCTAGGCAGAAAAATCTGGCAACAAGTGTGCATTAGTATCTGTGGACTACTGCTCCCATTCCCACCCTTGAACACACACATAATTCCACCACAACTACATCCAAAATTGCATTTGCTTGTCGCCACAGTAACCTCTACAATTACTTGGGTCCCACAATGAGTAACTATTCTTTCACTATAGAACTAGGAAGTTAATTTTTCCTTCAAGATCTCTCCAGCTTATGGAAATCCTCTCTGCAATCTTTCTAAGTCTGAAATTGTTCTAAAACAAATAGTCTATTAGGCCAGGTATGGTGGTGCATGACTGTAACCCTAGCACTCGGGAGGCCGAGGCAGGAGGATCACTGTGAGTTCAAGCCCTGCCTGGGCTAAAAAATGAGTTCAAGGCCAGCAGGAACCGCATAGTGAAAGCCTGTATCAAAAAGGCAAAAATAACATAACATAAAATAAAATGTCTATTAATTAAAGGAAATTCACAGTCTAGAAAGCACTTCAACTTATAAAAAAAAGTTACGTCTTACTGAATTGAGTCCTAGCACTTAGAAGAATACAAAGCCTAATAATTATTATATTATCGTCTAAGAATTTATTCTGGAGCTTGCATTTTCAGGAACACACTTATTATCTCTGTTTTGAGGTACAGAGAAAATAGCAACAATTAAGAGATTTAGCAAAGCATGGTGGTACACACTTGTAATCTCAACATTTAGGAGGCTGAAGTGGGAAGACTTACAAGTTTGAGGCCAGACTGAGCTACAAAGTGAGACCCTGTCTTAAAAAAAAAAATACACACACACAAAACCAAAATTTAATTACCTTCAGAAGAAACAAAAGAATGGTATCAAATTATGTTCAATAGTCAAAACTTAAAAATAAATGTAAATTCTTTACAGACTTCTCAGAGAAAAGATGTGACCCCAGAATTCTACATTTAGGAAAGTTATCAATGTATCTTAACACCATCCAGAAAGCAAACAGTAAAATGTACATACTGTGTACTAGAACAGCACTACTATTTTTCCCCAGAGAGGTGGGAAATGAAGACAGTCTGATCTTTCTGCTCATTATACAGCCTCTGAGCCCATTATCTCTACACCTATTCCCACCTTTAAACATGGCACCCAAGATTCCTGTTCCCTGTATCTCTCCCCTTAAGTATAAACTGCAAATATGATGGATTTCCCTCCTGTAATTAGCTTATGCTGCATTACAAAGGTGAAGGGATTTTAATGGTATAATTATGGGCTAAAACAGCTGATTTCTGAGTGAATATAAGGCAGATTCTAGGTGGTCTGAACTTAAGAGAATGTTCTTTAAGAGGAATTGGGTCCTTTTATCAGAGGTTCTGCTGACACTGAAGAAGTAAACTGCCACGTTGTGGAGAGACCCACACAGCAAGAAATAGCAAGCAACCTCGAGCTGGGAAGGGTGGCCCCTGACTGAAAGCCAACAACACAAGTACTTCCGGACTACAATTTCAAGGAACTAAATCCTCAGCCTATGAGTTCACAGCCTGTAAGCTCAGAAGAGAACCTCAAGCATCAGATCAAAGATCTGACAGATACCTCTGTGTCAGCCTAGCAAGGGCCTAAGCCCAACTAACTTATGCTCAAGATCATGATCCACAGGACCTGTCAAAATGAATCTGTTTTGTATTAAATTGCTAATCTATATGGGTATAAGAAACTAATACATTTTCCCCAACTGATTCTTCATACTGCAGCCAAAGTGCTCCTTTAAAAAATAATAAAGACAAGCTGGGTACAATAGTGTACACATGTCATCCCAGCATGACATTCTCAGAAGATCGTTAAGTCTGAGCCTATCCTGGATAATTTAGTGACTTGGTGTCTCGAAATGAAACAAAAATAAAAAGCACTAGGGAGGTAGCTTAGTCCAAAGGCCCTGGGTTCAATCCAAGAATGAGTGGAAGGAAAGATGGGGAGGGGGGAGGTAGGCACAGGGGGGGTTTTGAATGTTTTGTGATAAAAAATGTTCTAAAAGAAAATATAAAACACAAAACCTTTATATTTAAAAAAGTAAATCTCTTAAAGATTTGGCTTCTTTATTTAGAAAGGAGCTCTCAGAGTAAGAGATCACAAATAGAGAAAAAATAAGGACTTCAAGGTAAGCAAGGGCAAGTAAGGTGCAAAAATGGATCAATGTCAGCTTTAAAAACACTCTCTAGATTTCAATAACCATTCCCTCACTTCTCAATCTTTTAACCTCATGTTCCTAATTTTATAACTGTATCATTTGATTTTTCATCACTTTCATAAAATTACTCTATAGAAGGCTCTTTCAATCAATTTCCTATTCTATACACTGGAGTATGAGAGTATTAAAAACAAATCTCAGCTGGCCAACTCAGTATACATACGATATTTAAAGCCATGTGAGTGGTGATTTAAATATAGAGAAGACAAAACAAAGACTGTGTCCCAGCATACCCCACTTTTTCAGAAAACATACACAAAAAAAGGAAAGCAAAAGGAACTGTAAAGAAGTGACCAACAATTAAAGAAAGGAAATCAACTAAATATACTGTGCTGGGCTACAACTGAAGAAACTGTCCTGAGAAGAACAGACAATTAAGTCAAATACTGTTGGTTTATTATTCTACTTACTCTCTCCCCCACCCCATACTAAAAATATAAAACTTAAGAATGGGCTGGTACTGGAAGAAAAACAAACAAAAAAAAAAACTTAAGAATGGTGAAGAGATTAAGATGCCTGGAGAGAAATGCAAGCCTACTCAAAATCACATTCAATTTTAAGTCTCCAAGTTAGTGGAAAATCCATTGAAATTTCAGGGACCTAGAACATATTTCAATCAATATTTTATTATTATTATCATTTTTATTTCATTAAAAGAAAAAACACAAACAGAAACATCTAAGAATACCCAGAATATTCCTATTTCAAAAAAAATCCTACCTCTGCCAGCTTGTATGGTAAAATAAGCTTTTCTCCCACTGTCACCGTCTTCCTTGTAATTAATGATTCAAACAGCATCTCTTCTTTAACCTAGACAGCAGAAAAGTAAATGCAGTACGTAAGACTTCAGACAAAAGATTGAAATTTCCCACCAAAAAACCAAATAAAAGAAAACTTAATGAAATTAGCAAATACACAACAGAGACAGAGAAAAAAACTGGCAATTCTAATGCTGGCCAAAGTGGAATTTAGACATCTATTCACCTCAATTCTTTCCACTAAAGGGTGAAGAGGAACAGGTAAATAAGATATAGGTCTTATTAAATTAAAGTCTGCTTTCTGGTCAGAACGGAAAAACATGTTTCATGGTACAGAATATACACAAAGCTTAGAACAGTTAACAAAAACATTTAATGGTCAATCATAATCCCAAAACCTGGAGACAAGAACCAAAAAGTGATGGTACTTTTCAGTTTTAGAAATATTCCTAATGAGTCCTTATTCATATATTGAATGTTTACTTTTATTCACATATATTAAACCTTAAGATAAAGCCAATACTCCCTCCATTCTCATTCTTCCCCCACAGGCAAATATTATCATGAATGTGACACCTACTATTTCAGTTCTTGTTTTTATACTGACCTAACTATGTTGATCATCTAGATCAAGCTTATTCATTTCAATTGCTCTAGGGCACTGCAGGATAAATACACCATGTTTGTACCATTTATAAACACACTTACAATTCTGCACATTTAAAAAATTAACTGTAATGAATATTTCTGCATATGAGTTGAGTTCCTGGGAGAACAAACCTAAAAATGGAATTATCAGTTTATACTGTACATAATTTCAGCTGTACAGAATACTGCCAAACTCCTGTATACAATTTTTACCAATATGTTCTCATTTTGTCAGCTCTTGATTATAATTAGTATTATCAGACTCCGTAATTTTAAAACACTGATGGACATGAAATGGTGAAACAAGGGACTTGCACATGTAATAAAAATATAACATTTCATAAAATTTTATGTAGACAATACAAATTATACAAAACAAATAAGTATTTGATTATAAAGGAAGAGCTACAAAATGATAGAAGATAATATATTACTACCACCAGTGCATGTCAGATCAGTAAATTTTTTTGAGACAGTATCTCACCATGTAGTCCAGGCCAGGTGTGAACTCACTATGTGGCCCAGACTGGCCTCAAACTCACAGCAATCCTCTTGTCTCAACCTCTTCAGTGCTGGGATTTCAGGTAAGTGCCTAGTTTCAACCTTTCTGTTAAGTATGTTGTATGATTTTCCTTTACACCTTTTTAAAATCAAATTAGGGGAATTTCCTTTTATTCCTAGTTCTTTTCCTACTTCTTTTCCTTCCATACTTGCTGAATGTCTGGATTTAAAGTAGGACCACCAGCCATGATATCCTGTTATCGTAGTATCAAATATTCGACTAAAACATCACCTGAAATGCCTGACTGAAACACTACTTGTTCTCTGACCTTTGTGACTTTCAAAATTACAACCTTCAGAAACCAAAGTCCACCTCAGAGAAATACTTTCCAATGAGTGAGCCTACTTTCAATTCAAGGTACTTCCCTTCTGCCCCTTCTACCAGGATGCCATTCCACTAAAGTTAATAAGCAATGTCCAGTCACATGTAGAGAAAAAATAAACACTGCATTTAGAAAAATAAGAAAAAGGAATCCACTGCTCAGGTGGCAAACAGCACTGCCACCTTGTAATGGACAGAAACTAGTAAACAAGTAACTTTATGCTACAAAATCCAAACACACTCTTGCTACCTTGAACCACTCGTGGTACACGTATGACTATCCCATCAGATGCTTTGTACCACCAAATGAGACTGTCCCATGCTGCCCAATGGGACGGTCATGTGTACACCACCGGTAGCTCAAGGTAGCAGGAACATAACACATTCAAATCAGAGCCACCTGGCAGTGAGACATAAAAACTATGGCCCTGTTGTGTGTTAATTATACCAAATAGACACAAATGCTCTATGCACAGCTGGTTAAGACTTTAAGGTTAAACTCCAGAAAGTGGCACATGAGCCAAGAGTGAAGATGCATAATATTTTAATTAGAAAAAGTATATGCCCTAAATGTCAAAACTAAAACCACCGAGATATGCTTCAAAAGGTGAATGGATAAACAAACTGCAGTATAACAATACAATGAACACTTACTCATAGACAAAAAGAAATGTGCTCCCAAACCACACACACAAAAAAAATGGATGAACCTTTTAAGTAAAATAAGTTAATGTGAAAATATTACATTCTATTACCTTCAAATTACCTTACATTCTGGACAGGTCAAATCTCTAACAGCCAGTAAAAAGATCGATGCTCATCAGCATTTTAGGGGGAAGGGTTAAATAAGTAAATCACAGGGTCGGACCAGTGACACTCTTTCGTATTAAGCCATAATGGTGAACATATGACTTCACGCTCTTATCAAAACCAATTCAGCACAAAAAGTGAGCCATAAGGCACACAAATTTTAAACATTATTAAAAATACATGAGATTCCAGGAAGGAATACAGACCATGACAAGAGTCTATTAATGTAGGACAAATACATAAAACAACCTCAGCAAAAGGAGGACAGAGAAAAGGGTAAAGATCTAAGCAACTGTGGAAATGAGTGGGATATGTACGAGTAAAAACAAAAAGGAACTGTCTCTAAGGACTGTACTTCAGTAATAGAGTCATTTCCCCACAAAAGTATGGGTTAACAATTCTGATACTACTATAAATGTGCACTACTATAAATGAGCACTAAACAAATAGATGGCAAAAGGAGGGGAAGGTTTCTCACTCTGGAAATTTGCAGATTCACAAAGGAAAAGCTAGAATGATCCACGTAAGACTGGCTTTTTAAAAACATCAGTATGAAGTCCTGCCAAAGCTTATATACAGATGTAATGCAAACCTAACCAAAATACCAAGAGCATTCCTCACAGAACTAGAAGAAAAATATCCTAAATTGATAAAGAAACAGAAGAGACACAGAATAGCAAAAGCAATCCTGGGTGACAAGAGCTAAGCAGGACTAATCACAATCCTGGATTTCAAGTTACATTACAAAACTACAGGACAAAAACAGCACTCTACAATAACACTGAGGACTTCTGGGAAGTTCCAAGATTTGGAATCCAGACCTTGGAAAGTATCAACTTGGGAAAGAAAAGGAGGGAGGTGGATCCCTGGAACCCAGGAAGAATATGAAGGGAAAATTGGAGCCCCACAAAGGAATTGAAGAGACAGGCCATAATGCAGAAAAAGGAGGTGGCCAACTGTACTTTATCCCCAGCTCTTGGCTCACAGAGTGAGACAGGAGAATCAAATCTACAAACATACAGTGAGGGCAAGTAAGTCCAGATGTTTGCAGGGAGAAAAACACCAGTCGAACAGAGCAGGAGATACTATGCACTACAACAGCTGGTGAGTGACTCCAGTCCAAGTGACTGTGTGTCCCCTGGAATGGGTGCTTGGCTGGACACCATTTTAGGGAGGGGCCAACTGAACCTGGTACTCAAAGCAGCCATAAGGCAGGTTCATTTCAGGGCTGCCAGTGTTGAAAGGACATCCAGAGGAGATGTCCCTGGAGGGACATCCAGAGGAGACATCCAGGGTCAGGGAGCCAATGTCAGGTCAGCAAGAGACACCCACAGTGTTCTAGGCTGAACAACTCAGACCCCAACTCCACAATCAGAGGCCAGGATCAGCCTGAACTTCCACAGAGTTGGAAGCACCAGAACTGGCATCCCACCCTAATCCTACTGCAGGCTTGGGGAGATCATCCAGTATGGGTCTGTGCTCTGTCTGCCTCCTTTGTCTATCAGTGACAGCAGAGACACACCCTGAATTGAACACTATCACAAAACTTTAGACCCCAGAACGTAACTATAGCCTTAAAATCACAAAGAACTCTTTTTCTTTCTTTTACTTTGGGGGGTTTGTTTTGTTTTGTTTTGTCCTTTTTGTTGTTTGTTTGGCTTGGTTCTTGTTGTTCTTTTTTCCTTCTTGCTTTCCTTCCTGTCTTCACCAGTTTCCCAAAGATTCAGCAATCTTCCTCTGTCCTTCAGCCTTGCTTCTAATCTCCTTCTCTTCTTTTATTCCTCTATTTTTTCTCTTATCTTTTTTAAATATTCCCCTGAGGCTAAAATCACTCTATTGAATGGATATTTATAATTTTTTATTTGTTTCTGATTTTGTCATGTAACTATAGATCTTGTATCTATGGTTAAAGGTGGCAAATTAACTGTAATCACAGTTTGTCATTTCTTACACTGTGCTTACATCAAGCATTTATGTATGCTGGGAAGACTGGCTTTCCACACGACAAAGATTAAAACTAGACCCATATCGCTCATCATGCACAAAACTAAAATCAAAATGGATCAAAGATCTAAATATTAAAACAAAAACACCTAATCTGCTGGAAAACAGAATGGGTAAAACTCTTGAAGACATAGTGTAGGCAAAGACTTTTTGCACAGAACCCCAATTATTACATAAGAAATACCATCAAGAATTAACAAATGGGATTATATCAAATTGAAATGCCTCTGAACAGCAAAAGAAACGATCAACAGAGAGAAGAGACAACCCACAGCATGGGAAAAAATTTTTACCAGCTTTCCATTAAACAAAGGACCAATATCTAGAATACATAAAGAACTCAAAAAAATCAGATTCCCCAAATGTAAAGACCCAATCCAAAACATGGGCATCTGAAATAGACCCTTCTCAGATGAAAAAGTATGAACAGCAAATAAATATATGAAAAAATGTTCAACATCGCTGGCCATCCAAGAAATGCAAATTAAAACAACACTGTGACTTCATCTCACACCAGAAAGAATGGCTATCATCAAGAAATGAACCAATAACAAATGCTAGCAAGGCTTCTGGGAAAAAGGAGCCCTTGTCCACTGTTGGCTGGAGCATAAGTTGGTACAACCAATATGGAAATCTGCATAGATTCCTCAAAAAACTAAAACCGGAAGTTCCACTTGACACAGCTATTCCTCTTCTAGGTATCTTCTCAAAAGATGTAAAAGTATCATACCACAGTGATAAATGCACATCCATGTTTATAGCAGCACAATTTATAGTAGCGAAATCTTGGAAACAGCCCAGACACCCATCAGAAGATGGATGCACAAAGCAAATGTCATTTTTTAAAATATATAATGGAATACTACACTGTTGTAAAGGAGGATAAACTTGGGCTGGGGATATAGCTCAGCGGTACAAGCTCCTGCCTTGCAAGCACAAGGTCCTGAGTTCAATTCCCCATACTCCCTCCCAAAAAAGGAGGATAAATTTGAAGCATTTTTAGGTAAATCAATGCACCTTAAGGACATAATTTTAAGTGAAATAAATTGAACATACATGTGTAAATATCACATTGTTTCTCCTGTGTGAGAAACCCAGGATAAACAAGGAACAAAATGGATGACAGACATGGGGAAGTAGGGAGAAAATGTTCAAATGTGAAGGGGAGGGAGAAACGGGGAAGGGAGAAAATAGGGATTTAAAAAAAAGAATGGAAGGAAAACAAATGCTGGCGAGGATGCAGGAGTAAAAAAGAACACTCTACATTATCGATGGGAATGTAAACTAGTAGAGCCATTATGGAAATCAGTATGGAGATGCATCAAAAAACTGAAAATAAAAATTCCATTTGACCCAGTCATTTCTCTTCTAGTTATCTTCCCAAAAGACATCATGTCACACTGATACATACATACTCATATAACTCACAATAGCTAAATCTTGGAATTGGCCTCTATGGTCACACAGACGAAAGAATAAAGAAAATGTGTATCTGTATCCAATGTAATTTTACTCTGCCATACAGAAGGGTAAGTTTGAGTCACCTGTAGGAAGATGGATGCACCTTGAGACCATAATGTTAAGTAAAGTAAGTCAGACACATAAACTTAAGTGGTTTCTTTTATATGAGAAACCCAATGTTGAAAAAAAAAAAAGCAAAATAAAGGACAAATAGGAATCAGGGAGACAGATCTTTGCAAATAGAAGAGGAATCTAGAAAGGGAGAGAGGTTAAGCATAGTGGCACATGAATTCCAGCACTTAGGAGGCCAAGACAGGAGGATCACCGTAAGTATTAAGCCAGCCTGGACTACATAGTGAGTTCAAGGCCAGCCTGGACTACATAGTGAGACCCTGTCTCAAAAAAAAAAAAAAAAAAAGAGAGGAAAGGGGAAATTTAAAAAAATTAAGATGTATTATGGATATGTACCAATTCCCTAAGATGAATGTAATCATTATATACTGCAAACATGTACTAATAATTCTGTTTAGAAAACAGAAACACCAAGTTCATGTCTATGAATAGATGGCTACATATAGAAATATTTACAGCCAAGTGTGATGGCACACTCCTGTAATCCCAGCATTTCGGAGGCTGAGGCAGGAAGATCACCATCAGCTCAAGGCCAGCCTGAACTACATAGAGAACCTGTCTCAAAAAACAAAACAATAAAAAGAAATATTTACAGATACATCTATACACGCAAGTTACACATATATTTTCCCTTGATGTGTCATGTAAGAGGCCTCTAAGAAACAACACCCCATCCGATAAGGTAAACATGGCAACATCGTAAGTTAGCCTGGAAAACATGACAAATCACTCAAGCAAGAGAGTAAAAGTAACAAAGACTTTGATGTGGGATGAAGTATGGTGGGAGACTGGGACCCTTAGATCCTATTCAACCCATCATTAAAAGGGGTGTCAAAAAGAATTAAGATGTATCATGTAATGTACCAAACTAGATGAACATATCACTATGTACTGCAAACACGTACCAATAAATTTAAATTTTTTAAAAGCAGTATGTTTTCTCTTCACCCATCCAGGTATCCATCTTCAAGGACAACAATCTAAATCTAATCTTACTATGAAAAGAAGTATCAAATATGGAAAGAGCAAAATTAGCATAGACCCAAAACATTACACACACCACAATGCAATATTCATCCTATCCAATAAATCAGGAACTATGGATGTGTACAACAAGTGGAGGCAGTGCATAAAACCCAAACTAATGATTCTGGGTGGCACACGCAAGGTAAAAGAGATCTCAGAAGAAATTTCCTCTTTTGGAAACTATTAAAAATCAGTACATAATAAAATCATTATTAACAAAAAGCATTAACTCACTTACCTCTACAAAATAGTTACACCAAATAAAAAATAAGATGTCATTGAGTATTTGAAATGACAACTGTAAATGTAATCACTCACTTCTAGTAATTCTGAGACAACGGGCAGAACTTCAGGATTGCAGATATCAATAGAGTCATCCCGGTATGTCTTCTTTTTATAACAGATATTACCTAAATGTAATATTGCTGAGAGGAGAGAGAAAATCCTGTGAAAATAAAAGCAAAAATTACAGCTTCTCGCACATGTACATTCTCAAAATTCTATTTATGCCAAACTTCCAGTTAAGAACATTAACCAGTAAAGATATAAAATATAGTATATAATCTTCAGAAAAACAATAGAATAATTATAACTAAAACATTACTATTTACATCAGGTACTACACAAAGTGCTATACTCAACCTTATTTCATTATTATGCCATCTTTTATGTAGTTGTTTCAAGGGCATATCTTGCTATTGCCTGAATTTGCTTAGCCTTTTAACAACTCCTTTCCTTTTTAAATGCTATTCTTCTTGCCTAGAATGCCTTTTCCCTGGATTATGTATTTCATAAAAGCTAAATCAGACTCTCCAAAAAAAGGCCTTAGAATCTGCATTTTAATCAGATATCCCAGTTGATTTTTATGATTATCTATTTTAAATGTTTCCCTATGTTTTCCTAGTCTGGTACAGTAAGTAAGTATTTTTTAAAACAGTGTGAGGCCAGTGAGTGTATTATCAGCACCAGGCCCCTACTGTGAAATATATCCCTTGGCCTCCCTTACTAACTTCCCTCCTGCATCAGGGAACACAAGCCCTCTAGGCAGGAAGTAATCCTCCTACTGGTGCACAACACCCCAGCAGCTCCAGCTGACTCCGAAACCTTATTGTATTCACTTCCTATCTCTCATCAGCTGAACCAGAGAACTTTCTGTCAAAATATTCTTGTGTTTTCTTCTCTCTTATCATAAAATGTTCATGATGGCATCGTAATTCATTCGTCCTGCTGCTAGACAGCTCTGAACCACTGGTTGTTGAAACTGGCAGGAACATATTAAATAAATCATCCTAGATCCAATATGTTTTCCTTCCCTTCACAATTAAGACTACTGAAATACTAAATTCGTTATCTTCACTTAATTATTTCTACTCATTACCACACCTGGCCCCTGCTACCCACTAACATGACTCAGAAGTTACCAAGAACACCCACACAGCTAAGAATGATTATGGCCTTCACTTCTCTAACCATTTCAGAGGCATTCAACACAGATGAACACACCATTCCAAACCTCCTCTTTATGCACATCTTCGTACTTTGCCCAGTTATATTCTTAGGATACAGAACATCCGATTTATTTGTGAAAATTTAACTACATTATCTTCCTAAAATTAGTAAATATTCAAAATAAAACAAAGATACTGCAAGATACATTTTGAATTACCATCTAACTCACAGATCCAATTTTTCAAATAATTTAAAATTTTTAAATGTTTGAATCAAATGATTCAAAGAAAATACAAGTCAGTTACAAAGGAGTACTTTCATAAAAACTATTCTGGTACGAATTAGAAAGTAAACTCAGCCAGGTGTGGTGGTACACACCTGTAATCCCAGCACTCGGGAGGCTGAGGCAGGAGAAACGCTGCGAGTTCGAGACTAACCTGGGCTACAAAGTGAGCTCAAGGCCAGCCTGAACTGCATAGCGAGACCTTGCCTCAAAAAGACAAGAAAAAAATAAAAAAGAAAGTAAACTCAGTATCAACAGAAACATTATAAAAACTATTGTAACACAATTTATGACCCACTTTTTAAAAATTAATTTTAGTAGCAGTTTATAGAGTTGCTAATTACATTGTTTCCATATCTCAGGTTCAATTATCAGCACATTAAGGTTCTCACACACAAAAATATACAATACATTCTCTCCAGCAATAATGAATACCATATAATTCATCTTATGCACTATAAAACAATATTCAAAAGATTTTAAACTATCAGTATGAATCCTTGCTCTCAAAAGGCTTCTAATCTTGCATTAGGAGATATTATACTAAGGGACATATATTTTAAAATACAAAAGGCAGAAATAGCACAATTATGGAAATTTTTCATTTAAAAAAAGGCAAAACAAATAATGCTTTAAGGAATAAGATTTTCAACGCACATAAGCAAAATTTAAGGCTGTCTACTCTAGATTAGGTCTAAGAAGCAAAGAATGTTGTGCTTTATTGGCAGTTTATCAAAGTCACAGGAGAGAAGAGTGGTGGCACACATAATACACTCTATCCAAAATACTGAAACAAGTAGAAAAGATAGGAGATCATCTCAAACAAGGAAAACAGTAAATACCCAAAATAAAACATAGTATTTTAGAAAATAAAACTAGTCTATGTGATATTTAAAAATTGTGTTGGGGAGTATCTGAAGATAAAAGTTGAGAGATAGGGAAGAGTCACACTGCAGGCCAGACTACTAGAACAGACTGCTTCCAGTGGCTTTCAGTGTGAGATCGAGTCACATCCGAAAGTGCAAAAGATAATCTCTTTGGTATCTCAAAAAGAAACATTATATTGCCAACTTATGCTGTTATCTTAAAAAAAAAAAAAAGTCACTATGTAATTTAATATAGTTTGAGTGAGTATCCTTTATCCAAAATGCCTGGGATCAGAAGTGTTTCAGATACTGGAATATTCTCAGAGACTTTACTGCCTGAGTATCCTAAATCTGACAACGTAAATTCTGAAACGTTCCTGAAATGCAAAACCTCCTGAGTGCCAACCTGATACATAAAAAACTTTCAGAATTTGAAGCAATTTGAATTTTGGATTTTTCAGACTAGGGATACTCAATCTGTATATATACCGACAGTAACCAATCCGGTGTCACTTGCAGTAAATGTGGTAAACTGAGGGACAAGCAGAAATAATATGGCATGGAAACATGTAGAGGGGTACTCTCACTAATTTATTAACTTTCAGTGAGTTACAGTTTCTGTAACCAATAAATGACTTTGCATAGTATATTATTTGGGTTTAACTTTGCATTTTAAAAAATTGTAGCAACGATTCTGCCAACTAAGAGTCACACAAACAAAATAAGTGCAATCAATAAAAAAATAGGAGAGGTAATATTCTACTTCTGCTATGTTCATCATTCCAGAGATTAAAAACTGATAATATTGTCAGATCTGATGTTTATCAACACTAATTCCCCTCAAAACAACAGAGCTCAGTAGAGCCAGACATAGTGGTGCGTGGTTACACTCCCAGTCACTTTGGAGCTTTAGACAGGGAGATCACTTGAGCCCAAGAGTTCAGGCCATCCTGATCCACAGAGTAAGACCCTGACTCAAAAAGCGAAATAAAAATCTAAGAAACTATTTTCTTCTGGTGAGAGGCAAAGTTGTATCTTTAATAGTATACCCATAAATTAAAGATACAGGTAATACATAAAAAACTGTTTGCCCATAGGTATGCATGACTTAATAAGAGATAACTCATAAACAAAATGAGGGGCTATAAAAATAAGTGTTATAAAGTAATGGTTTTTAAAGTAAGGTCAATGGATAGGCTTCTGGGGCAACATAAACTCTTGTAATTATATGCAAATGTTCATGGATGTGCATTTTATAAAAACAAGAGTTCTAGTTTTCATTAGATTCTCAAAGAATTTATGACAATGAAAAGGTATGAAAAACAATACTAAAGATTAATGAGGCAACAGTTAAACAACCTTAAAAAAGAATCAAGGAAGAGAAATCTTCCAAAACATATCATGATTTATTCTCTACGGAGGATATAAGAATACAATAAATAAACTCACTGTCTTCGTGTCTTGGGAAGAAATCCTACCATCTCCATAGCCAGTTGTAAGCGTTCAAAATCATGCCTCAAATCTTCTCCTTCCACTGTGAAGCAATCCTGCTTAAGCGAAGAAGGGGAACAAAAGATAAAAATTACTGTGTTTTAAAAAATGTGAGCCATTCAGAAAATGGTCATTTAAGATAAGTGCACCTATGTGTAAATACAAATTAGAACTAGATTTAATAGACCCCTTATTTTGCTGTAAGTAAATAAAATAAAAACATACCTACCAAAATATCAGGTTATCTTACTTTTTTTCTTCCTTTTACAATTACCAAAACAAAGATCTCAAAATAACTTAAGATAAAACACTAGCAGTACTTATAAAAAAATGCTGAAACCAAGACTGATTTTAAGAAGTTCTGAAGAGTTTTAGAGATTCCAGGAATTTATAAGCGTTACCACAAGCAAATTTGTCTGTTCAACAAATATTTAATAAGTGACCACCATAAACAAGGCATTGAACTAAATCCTGGTAACACCAAAACAGACTGCAGATGAGGCAGTAATGTAGTTGAGAAGTGGATCCTACATGTATAAATAGTTCCTAATGAAATAATATAGACAACACAGAAATTAAGCAAAGAAAAAAGAAGTATATGACAAAGTACAAAAGCCTTAAACAAATACACTTTACATGAGCCAATAAAAATAGTTGAGGACTACCAAAATAGTCAAACAGTAACATTGTAGATATAATCTAAATCTTTAAATCCCTTTACTACATGTTCTTACACTCCTTTGTACTTGCACTGTCTAAAATCTCCCACAGTATTTACTTTTTTAATCCCTTTCCTCCAAAGAAATGTTCCATCTAGTACCCCATACACATAAGTATTACCTGTTTTTTTTTTTACATTTTCTTTCCCTTTTTTTCTTCAATCAGATTTCACATTACCTATCTTACTGCATCAAGTCAGTGACAAGAATATAGTGAGGAATTACAGAAGTACATAATCACTAAATTACTAAATAATGCGTTGAACTGAATGAAAAAATTCCTCCTTGAGAAATACAGTACTCATTTTTTTAAAAAAGTACATATTGAGTACCTACCATGTCCGAAAAGAAAAAAAAACCAAAAGCACAAAACAAAAAAACTATGCTACGCATTGTAAGAATGAGTTAGAGAGTACATCTAAACATAAAATTTTAAATTAAAAACTTAGAATAGTGTTAATATTTTTATTTTCTAGGTGGGTATGATGGCACATGCCTGGTCTCCCAGCACTTGAGAAGACGAGGCAGGAGAATCACCACAAATTCAGGCCCAGCTTGGGCTACACAGTGAGTTCAAGGCCAGCCTGAACTACATGGCAAGACTATCTAATTTTCAGATTATCAATTTTTTTGTTTGTTTGGTTTTTGTTTTTTTCCGGTACCGGGAATCGAACTCACGACCTTGCACTTGCCAGGCAGGTGCTGTGCCACTGAGCTAAATCCCCAGCCCCTAGACTATCAATTTTTCACAAGCAATTTTAAGACACATTCTACAGACATGTCAATGTCCTCACTAAAACAAATTTAAGTTGCCATTATTTTTCCTTAACATATGGTAAATCTTTTTTTAAAAATTCCCTTGTTTCACTTTCCCCAAAAATCATTTTATGATTTAGCAAACAATTTTCTGTAACAAGTAGAAGGTAAACAGATTTATACTTCCACTCATACAAACTCAATGATACAGCAATGATTCTTACAAAAAGCAAATTAAACAATTAATGACTATAAAATATTGGGAAAGTAAATTAAAGAGGCACTAAAATATAAATGCACTTATATCTGCTGTTCCTTAAATCAAATGTATTTCAGAAATACACACTGTGGTCTCAGGAAATAGCAAAACTGTAATTTTTTCAAATATGTCCTGACCCTTTCAGCTGTTTCCCTGATAACTGTAGAAGAAAAACTGAAGACAAATCCACCAGACCAAAAATGCCCTTAGCTTAGCTTAGGTATCTTAATTCAGGTAAATACAGGAGGCTGACTCTAAGGCAGACAAAGATTCAAGTGTAAGTAGCAAGGGAAACGGTATCAGGGCTTTTTCTTTCTTGGAATGAAGAGAACCATTCTACAAATGTATGGTCTAGAGACACAGTGGCAAACATACGGCACACATATTACTACACTATCTCTCATCAGTCATGAGTTGAGGACTTATAGATACAGGATGAGACAGCTCTAATTCTAGTCATTTCTAGAGGGCCCTGTAAGAACACAAGGGTATTCCAAGGCTCTGGAAAAAGCCTTCAACTCACCAAGATACAAATACTGGTCAGCCAGAGAACAATGAAATGTCAGGATCCAAGGAAAGGCAAGACAAGGCACGACCCAACAATTCTTAGAATCCCTTCCACAGAAAGAATACAGCTTAATCCCTGGGTTCAACTCAGCAGAAGCTCTTATATTAATTCCTAATACACTGCTGCATGCCCTCCATACATACAACCAAAAAACTCCTTCACCCCTTAAGTAGATCTGAGAACAAATTAAGTGAACTGCTGAGAGTCTCAAAACTAATAAGCAGATGAGCCAGTAGCAAGTCAAGTCAATCTCTTTCAAAGACCAAATTTTCAAGCATTTCTTAGACCATCTCTGAACAAAAGTAGATCAGCTCCATCCCACTGTGAGCTCTGAACAGGTGATCAGTTCTGCTATCTGCAATATGTGTCTGCAGTACCATACTTGCTTCCCAAGGAGGCATGATGCACTAAGTGTAGTAAAAGACAGGAGAAACATCTTTAGAGTGTCAAAACAACTTAAAATGTCTCTATTAAAATTCATCAGACTCTGCACAATTTAAATGTCTAACATATACTTCCCAAAATGTTAAACCTAAACCCAAGAATTTCTTTATTATGAAATGGCAATGCAATTAAACTCTGAACAAAAAAATTAATATCCATACATACTGAGCTCTCAAGTCAGAAATGGGTTAGTTTTGCAATTAGTGGAGTTTAGACTCATGCAGTAAGAAAGTCATTTTTTAAAGCAAGGACTTAGACATGTTATATTTCTGGAAAGAATATTCAATAATTTAATTCATTAGTTAATAAATATAGATAGATGCATCTGTGCTTCTAGTCTTTCACATCTGACCCAATTGCAGAATAAAGAAAAGAGCTTTTCTGTGTTTTTATGATTACAAATTTGTCTTTATCAGATATAAGAAAAGTTAAATTTACTTATTTTAAATTACTCAATTTAAAACCTACATCAGGCATGCTGGCACATGCTTGTAATTCCAGCATTAAAGGAGGTTAATGCAGGAAGCATGCAAGTTCAAGCCCTACCTGGGCAATTTAGAGACTTAGACCCTGTCTCAAAATAAAAAAAAAGTAAATAAAAAATAAAAATAAGTGGCTGGAGATGTAGCTCAGTGAAAAGGCCTTCTATAAATCCCCACTACTGAAGAAAAAAAAGTAATATTAATACTTTAATTTCTGGAAAATTTTATTAAGGCTGTGGCCTGTGCTGCTATTGATAAAAATAAAAGAAAAAATAAACATATTCATGATGCAAAAAGACTGCTGACATGTGAAACAGGAAGGATGTAATTTTAAACAAATAATTACTCATAATAATGGGTTATGAAACAACTAAAAATTAATTTAAAAAATAAATCTCAAACTGGGCATGGTGACACATGCCTGTAATCCCAGCCTTTAGGAGGCTCAGGTAGGAGAACCACTGCGAGTTCAACACCAGCCTGGGCTACATAGTGAGTTCAAGGCCAGCATGAACTACAAGCCGAGACCCTGTCTCAAAAAAAACCAAATCAATCACAGAGGACAAAAAACCTACAGATTCATATCAATGCAGAAGAACCAGGAATGAGATCAACTGTTTGTCAATATAAATTTAAATGTGAATTAAAATCCCAAAAAGGTAAACTGATGGATTTTTAATCAACAAAGGAATCATTTAAAGAAATTAAACATTGATATTGCTTTGATAGCAGTGTGTATTTCAGTTGATCTTCATTCTGACTAAGTCACAAGATGGAGGTAAATGAGCAATGTGAGGCCCTTTAGCCAGGAACACAATACTGACCGGCTCAGAGTCATAGCAATAATCATCCCAGCTCTGTCTGAGGGGTTTCTTTGTTATCTGAAAGTAAGGCAAATTAGTTAGGCAGAAGTTGTTAGTAATGGCTATTATACTTCTCTAACAATTTCTTAGGGTATTGTGCAGGTAGCACTGCTGTTAACCAAAGAAAAGCTACTTTGCATAGCAGCATAAAACCAGAAACAAACAGACATTCAGATTCTGGGAGACCATTCTGTCCTCATAATGCCATTGTCCAGTGACTCTGATTTTTTTTCTTTTTAATTTTAAAGAGAATAAAAATTTTAAAAACATCAATACAGAATTTCAAAACAAAATGATAGGAAATCAACAATGATTGTTATACTGCATATTGTTATCTTCCAAGTAGTTGTTCAGATTACCAGATATAAGCATGCAAAACTGGTCCCCCCCCAAAAAAAATTTAAGCATTAACTATTCCTTTCAATAAACCAACAGAAATTTATAGTACAATTATCTTAGCTATCTTGTGTATATGTGTGTATATGTATGTTTTCTCCCTTCCTTCTTTCTTTCTTTTCTCCTTTCCCCCATCCCAGTTGTTCTTTCCTTTTGAGCAGTTTCTTTCCCTTTCCCAATATCTACTGTACTTTTTGGATTCTGTTTACTCTTTCAGTTTCTTATACTAGGGAGACAATACATTGTTTACACATGTGAGTCTGATTTATTTCACTTATAAGTATGGTCTCTAGTTGCATCCATTCACCTATGAAAGCCTTGAGTTTACCTTTCTCTACAGCTAAGTAACACTCCACTGTATAAAAATACCACATTTTTTTATCCATTCTTCAGGTGATGGGCATTTGGGTTGTTTCCAAGGTTTAGCTATGACAAATTGTGCTGCTGTAACGACAGATGCACATGTATCACTGTGGTATGATGTTTTCAATTCTTCTGGAAACATACTCAGAAGGGGAATAGCTGGGTTGAATGGGACCTCCAATCCTAGTTTTTTGACAACTCTCCAGACTGATTTCCAGTAGATGCACCAGTCTGCACTCCTACCAACAGTGGAGAAGGGTTCCTTTTTCCTCACAGCCCCACCAGCATTTGTTATTGGTTGATTTCTTGATGACAGCCATTCTTTCTGG